ATACATGTTTTTATGATTCATAACTATCTCATGTTGACATACATGGACTTGGTCTGAGGTTTTTGTATACGTGAGAATCATGGACTATTTTGGTCTCTTACGTTCATGCTCATCTGCCTCTCATGGTTTCATTGTCACCGCTCCAGTGTTTCTTTTTATAATGTGACATTCTTGAATTTAACTCAGGTTAACATAGTAGAATTTGTAAATGAGGCAGAAAAACCCTCATATTCCATGGACAATTTTCCTTGTACTTAATGTTACTTGAGTAAATCCTTCTTTTCTGTAGATGGTACTGTTTGATTACACTGTGATGTTTTTTCTACGTCCTTTCGTTCTGTGGGTAACTTTCAGGTAATTACACGTTGACCGTTTTAAATGGCGTCACATGGATGAGTAAGCTCCCTTTACCATAGGATAACTTTTGTGTATCTGTTAGTATCTGCATCGCGTCTTCTACCCCCGACATAAACTCATACATACAACTCACCACGATGGAAGGACTCGGCATATCCAAGCTCAACTACACTCAACTGAGCGGACACTGGGACAGCTGAACACGACGTACACCTCAGAACAGGAATGGACAGTAAGTTCTTAACTAATTGATATATTTTGTTGGAGTCACCGTAGGAAATCAGTATTACATGTTGCAGGAACTTATCTTTTATTGTATATCAACCTGAAATGAAAATAAATATAACAACGCTGGTTTTATTCAAACTATTTTGTGTGTTTATTTGCTTTTATGTACGTTTACAGATGTTGCTGAAAGGTAATATCATATGGGATGTAGATGTACTGGTCCTAAATAGCGTCATCATCACCAGCGGCGTGTGTGAGATGTAGGAGGAACCTAGCCCGAAGTAAGGTGTCTCTGATCACGCTAGCGGCGTGTGTGAGATGTAAGAGGAACCTAGACCGAAGTAAGGTGTCTCTGATCACACCAGCGGCGTGTGTGAGATGTAGGAGGAACCTAGCCCGAAGTAAGGTGTCTCTGATCACACCAGTAGCTTGTTTGTTTTGTTTTGTGCTAAAGACTAAGTTAAAGACTCGATTTTTATGTGAGGTGGCAAGAACAATATGTTGCAATATATTATATAAAGATCTAGGATCTTAGTTAAAGCCGTATTATTTTCATAATTGTTGGCATGAATGTATATAATTATGAAATATAATCAATCCTCATTGCAATGTGTTATTGTTGTATTTAAAAGGGTTGGGAGAAAAGCAATGTGGATCACCGAAATTGCCTAAATGAACAGCAAATTACAAGTGTATATTTAGATCATTTGACTACAAAATTAATAACAACTCAATAACAGATAGTACCAAATAAGTGTTGGTGCGTATGACTTAAATTGACTGAATAGTAAAAAATGATATGGATGTAACAGCAATTCGAATAATTATTGTATATTTTATCACCTACATTACTTCTGATTGAGATAGGCCATTGTGTACATTTGTCCTGCGGGACACATACTTATTTTTTATATCCAGGCGTTCCGCTGTATACAGAGAAGAAATACCGTAGGAAAGGACGTAGAGATTTCTGAATCGTGGTCTTGAGGATGCTTAGTGTGACAAATTACTTCCTGATAAGGTGTTTAGAAATTGCAAAGTTGAGTTAAGGTTACTGTTAACACTGGACCGTAAGAGATCCAGCACTTACAGACAATCAATAAACCCCTCATTCCATACATACGAGTTGCTTCAGTTATAACACATTTCTGTACCATTCTGTTTAATATGTCAGTTTAATATTTCTGTATGATGATATATTAGCAACATGTAAAATAACACATATATGTGTACTGTTGGAAAACGCCACGCTGTACTGAAAATGGCAAAACCACTAATCATGATTTAGAGTCCGTTTATCATTTTTAAGCGGAAGATAAATTGTGCATTGTTACACATTGATATGATTGTTTCTGTGTATCACGACACTCTACATTTAAATAGTACATAACAATGTTATTATTCACATCATATATAATGAACAATGAGATCCTTTTTATCATTTCTAAGCATTTTTTCCGGGTCACCTTCATCAGACAAATGAGCAGCGAAGCGTTTGTATTAAAAGGTGTTAAATCTGTTTACAATATAAAATCAAAGTCAACTTGGATACATAAAAAGCGTATGCACAGATATTATACCTTTGCATACCTATTTCATACCTTTGTATACATATTTCTGTATCACACTACATTTTACAATAGAAAACATCGTTATGAATAACATATACGCTGGTGCTAAAGGATAACACAACGTGGTGCAGAGCGATAGTGAAACAATTAATCACTGCTTTAAGTTTGGCCATATTTTTTCCAGAATAAAGCTTCCTTGTTGCAACATGTTTGTTTCTGTCGTTGTATATCACGACAATCTACACTGATAAATTATATTACGATTTTGATATCCATATCGTCCCATACCACGAGGCTCTTTGTCGTAAAGCAGACAGTTTTTACACTCCTATCTGTGTTTCTGTTGTGGGTCCTTGTACGAACATCAGGTGTAGGTCAAACACGAGATAACTATTGTTTTGTCCGTGTCCTGAAGATGATTCAGACGAACTACAAGATGTATCTCTCTCGACTTGATTTAAAGTCATAAGGTTATATTTGAATAAACATTCAGGGTATTCTTCCTTGTTCAGATAACCCAGTTTACAATATTCTTGGTAAAGGCGTATATTGTTATAAGTGAGACGGTCAAATCTACGTCATTGAGAAAATAGTGATTGGTCGTTATAAAACGCGCTGAGGATATTAAACAGTTCCTGTAGAGTCCAATACAACATCTGTTTTAGGAGTAACGCAAAATAGCAACTGTTAAAAAGCTCGTATGAGTCAGGTACATATCTTATGAAGACCGAAAATTAGAAAAGTTCTAATATATGTTTGTGAGATGAAGAAAATGTAATCCTACCACGTCTGCGAAGTAACGACACCTGTTATTGGTTTACAGTCATGTATTATTGTAGGATAGACCATGTATTATTTCCCAATAGACTATATACCTGCAATGGTCTTCCGAAAAACTCATCCTGCATCGCAAACCTGATCTAGCTTTAGCAAACCGTTGAACTTGCTTCCTTTGGCGATTTTGAATATAATTTTAGATTTTTTGGAACAAAAACAAAACAGAAGTTTCTTTTTTACATTAAATCTCTTTAAGTTCTACCAAGCTCTTGATCAGAATTTTCCGCCGATCTTTATATGAGAATGCCTTGAAAAAGTATCTGTGAGATTTTCAAGTGTTGATTTGACGAGAAATTTGTCAACGGAATGATGCTTTTGATTGTTTGAAATAAAAGAATTTATTACAAAAGACGTTAGTGTGTATTGTTTTTCCTCTGTCCAATGGAGGAATAAAATGGCGAGTAAAAATGAATTTTACTCAACTAATCCTTGTTAAGGGTCACGCCCAAGCAGCGGACATTATCTCTTCCCTGATTTGTGTCGTTTCCCCCAGTCGACGATTAATAAAACAAATATGAGGGTATGTACAACTTCTCAATTATATCCAGGTTAAACAGGCAAATAGATGGTATAATATTTAGTGGGATTTTTTTATAAATGGTGATGATAAACATGTGGATAAAATGTTGAGGCCACCAGAGATGGCCTCTCGACTTTATCCACGTGCTCGTAATGAGACAAGTGTTCTCACGACAAACACTGAAGACATCGTGTGCTTATTTATAAAACTATTTCGGCTTGTAAAAGCTTATACACACTGAGTAAGACACGAACATTGGCAAATTAAATAAACAACTCGAATTTCGAAAATGTTTGGGGAAAAAAATAACTAATGATAAAGCGGTCTTTGGAAATGCTAATTATTTATTAAATAATTAATATAAATACGAAATAGAAAAGCGCTTATTGAAACCATTATTAGCCAATACAGTAAAAGGGTAAACCTTTTAGAGCGCCATACGAAAATCCATCTTTTAGTGTCCCGAAATACGTTGAGAGAAATTTTCAAAAAGAGGAATTGGTGCATTTAAAACCCTCTGTAACGTTACAGGTTTAAAGTTTTTGACTGCAAAAGATTATTTATTCACGTACACCAAAGTGTCTGTATGATACTAGAACAATCACCTTGTTAAGATAGCTACACATGGAGCATAGATTGTTGTACATATTACAGGCCTTAGCACAATACCAGTATATTGCGTCATTCTTCTACCGCGATGCTCCGCGATAACAGCTTTTAACAGCGCATTATCTGCGCGAGGTTATCAAACCGACCCCAATTGGTGCAAGTTCGAACAAATGCCGCTCCATATCGGGAATATATATTTAAATGCATTTGCTGTGTAATTTGATATGTAAGTGGAGTGTGACAGGGAAGCCATGTTCTCAATCATGTTATCCTTAATTTAATAACTGAGGAGATTATTAATATTTATTTTAATTTCTGTTAATGATTTTCTTTTTAATTTATTTTTTATTAAGGCATTTGTTGTTATATATCTACATCTACCGTGGTTCCTCAGGACTAAGACAGAATATCCTCCTGGGATAGGCTTTATCATCGTTTTTCTTGTTTATCTTCTTTCATGCATGTAATTCTTACCTCTATATGGCTGAATGATGAATTTAAAAACCTCATGATTCCAATACAGTTCTAAAATTTGTATATTTAATTTTTGTAAACTCGTGGAAGCAGAAAGCCAAATAAACCAAATGTGTAAGGGTACATGTTACGTTCTTGAAAGTGTTTGCAGAAAGAAGTATGATATTTTTGTGGAGAAAATGAATACCTAGTTACATTTATTAATGACACAAAATCAGTTCTATTTCATTAAATGTTACTTGTGAATTAAGCTTTGAAGAAAGATAACGTTTACATATTACAGAGTAAATGTCCGACTCTTTAGACCGAAGACAACCTACGTACTTCTCCTTAGTAACTCATACTGCGGGAGATTAAAACGGTTGAGATCAGTATGTGATGACCTGCACACCGCGGGATAAAGCGCGACAGACGAATAGTTACTTTCTGCTGTAAGCCCGGTCCATCCAGTCATGTATCTCACTACGCTTGGTTTGTGTGTGTTGTTGTTCAATTTTTTAGATGTGGATGCGGCAACTGGGCCACAGGTAGGTAATTTAGTCAATCAATTATATCATTCTCGATCAAGTTTATTGACATTATCATTCTTACTTTTTTGACAATATTATTAGGACTAAGTATGTATCAATGCTATCATTTCATCAATCACTCACTGCTTAAAAAATCATAGAGGTTTCAGAAGTACTTCTCTGCTTCAACTTAATAATTTGATACTTACCTACATCATGCCAAATATTGTTAACTCACTGTCAAACTTTATGACAAACCTTACGACTTTAAATCGTTGATCAGTCCCATCTTCTGAGGTCGTTTACATTTCAAAATGTTTTGTCTCCCGAATATCTTCTAATTATTTTGAGTGTTTTATAACTACCTCCGTTTTTGACATTTCAAATACTTAGTCCTTTTTATCGGAGTGCTAAGGAAATTGTCCAGATGACCTAACTTCCAGCTGTAGATATGTAAGTGCCTCACATACATGAGTTTCCTAGAATGACGACGACCTACTTCCTTTGATAATATATGTTTTAGTATGAAGCTGTCTTACTGTATAGTCAATGCTTACACGAATGTGGCACATTGCACCTCTGTAATTTTAATTCAGCTTTTTTAGTTTCGTATTTTGCTATCCGAATGGGGAAAAAAACCAAGAGTTTCCGAATGCGTTATGGTACTTGACACGAAGCCTTGAAGGGTGGTTACTTGCTCCGATTACCTACTGCAGTTCATCTATTACGCTTTAAATGAAGAAAAGCGGAGTTAAACAGGTAAAAGTCTTAATGATTATGTATATTGAAGTGAAAGCATTTGGTAATTGAGAATATTGTCTTATTTTGTTGCATTTATTTGAAAACGAAAGTAGAACACTTTACTTGTATTTTATCTGTAATCACAGGAGTCTGAAGTTCTGTCAATAATAAATGATAACAGTAATACAAAAAAATACCTATGATTATTCATTATTGACAGAATTTCAGGCTCCTGTGCTGTAATACACTTACATTTAGTATCACAGACAGATACTTCACTTGTATTTACTATCACAGACAGGTATAACACATGTATTTACTATCACAGACAGGTATAACACTTGTATTTAGTATCACAGACAGATATTACACTTGTATTTATTATCACAGACAGGTATCACATCTGAATTTACTATCAGACAGGTATTACACTTGTATTTAGTATCACAGACAGGTATTACACTTGTATTTACTATTATAGACAGGTTACACATGCGAGTACATTGTACTTTAACACACATCTACAGTAGGCAAGTTTACTTCGCTGTACTAAAATACACCTAGCAATAAAACATACTAATAGCAGTTACAAGAACGAATGGTTTATACACTGTAAACTACTTGTTTTACATTACTGTCTGGTTATATTCTGTATACTATTTTTATCTTTTTAAGGATAAAGTCATGTACATTGGTCTGGCGAGGTATATATGAGATATAAATCAATGGGTCTTGAGACATAATGAGTTATTAAATGCTTCTTCACATTTAACTTGTCTCAAAGCCAATTGAAGTCTAATTTACCCTATCAATTCAACAGAACAGAACTTGTTTTAATTTATAATTAGTATAATTTTCATTAATTTTTTTTTATTACTTCTAAAATATCAGTCTTGTGTAAGTGTCTGACTCATTGTGTGGCATATTAAGTAAGATAAATATCTGTTATGTATAAATTACAACTTTAGAATAATACAAAATATAAACACATATATTTCAAACTGAAACTTTTGAAGAATAAAAAAGAATCTGAAAGCTATAAAAAGGTATGCATCTGCACAATTTCTTTGTCTTACTCATACATGTATGCAAACTGTAAAGTTTATTGAAAAATAAACAACAGACCCTTAAGTAGATATATATGTAGTAGGACGAGGAATAGTGATAAAGTTATTGCTGTCGCTGGGGCTCGAACCCACGACCTTTGGCTATCCGGCCCGATGCTCTTTATCAAATTTTTACAAGAGGACTGATAATAAATAGTTAATATGATTTTTTATAATGACTGTGTATGAAAGTATGTATATGTGTATAATAACTGTGTATGATAGTATGTATGTCATGATTGTGTATACTACTTGTGTCATAGTATGTACCTGTATAATAACTGTGTATGAAAGTATGTATGCGTATACTAATTGTCTCTGCTGTGATAGTTTATATGTGTAATAACTGTGTGATGGTATATAGTGGTACATGTATAATACATGTGTGTGATATTATATATGTGTATAATACCTATATGTGATAGTATATATATATATGTGTGTTTAATAGTAAATACAAGTGTAATACCTGCCTGTAATAGTATACACATATGTAATACATGACTTTGACAGTATAATACACATGTGTAATATGTGAAATGTATGTTTACTCATTGTAGATTTGGAATGTTACATCAAACGTTGATGGAGATGCATCTTAATTGATGGTATATCACTGTTGTAGAGTTGATGTTATTGTGTTGAGAGAATGCCATAATACAACTTCCAAGTTCTATGTACAATTTGACATACATGCATTCACCATCAGTTTCATTTGGATTGGAATTTACCTATAGCTAGCAAATGTATCATAATAGTTGTATGTTTTTGACTCCGTGAAATCTACCTGGTATCTAAGCTTTAACAGTGACATTTCAAAACTTTCATTTGATACAGATTTATAGCCATTATAGTTATTAGTATATGATTTAGGAGAATATCACAATCTATTTATTTAACTGCATATCAGTGTTCTCCCTAGAATGTTTTGAAAGAAGCATGATATTTCAATATTTCTGTTAAAGCAACACTCTATGTAAAATCAAAGCAGCATGGTAACTTTAGGTTTACTATGAATATATAGCAGAGAAGATCTAGGATGGCAGCATGGCAAGAAATTATAGGAGCATGGTGCCATGCTGCAAAAACAGCCTGGGGAGAACACTGCATATATACATATACTAGAGACGAATATGTACATGATTGTTGTCAGCTGTTTATGAAACCAGATAATAATGCATTGATCTACACACTTCATACAATTAATTTCTATTATGTATCAAATCATTAAGCTGAAGATATTGTGATGCTTGTATTTTGCAGGCTTGTGAATTTACAACACAGAGGAAAGTCACCAATGTGCATATAGATGCTGTCTAAAGTGATTAAGATGTCATCATTTGATGATTATTTCAATATTCACTCTTTCATTGTAAATGTAGCTAACCTTTTTTAGCAATAAATTATGTGACGTTAATCAGAAGTCTGTTGTTTTATATATTGATATTATATAGGATTATTTGGGACTAGTTTCTCTCTTGTTATGCTCCCAAAAAAGATTTTGGGGACATAACTCCTGACTTGCTGAAGAGAGCAATGGAATTTTAGTGATATGCATGTACATGTATGTGGGATGGTAAGGCAATGTGTTACATACCACTTTTCGGTCCTTATGCCTGAAGGTCAAGGTCACATGTCAAATTCTTTTTCTGAGCAATTCTGATTTGATGAAGATAATTCAATATAAGTTATATATGTCAGATTGTGAGGCGGTATACTATGTAGTACCACAATGGGGTCTGTATAGTCAAGGTCAAGGTCTCAATAAGTTCAAAGGTCAAATAATTCTGAACCTATATACCTCCAAAGGTAAGTGATGTGTAGAAGTAAGACAAGCTTTGTTGCATACCTCTTGGGTAACCTCGGAGATAATAATAGTGCCAGGCATGGTACATTTCAATCATGTAATGTATCATGTAACCTTTATTCCAGTCCCAAATGACTTTTTTGGGGAGCATACAATCCATCGGTTTTAGCGAATTTCTCGTTTCTTTATATGGTAAAATAATCAAGTAATGATGGAGGAATATTTACCATACAGTATAAAGAAACAAAGGCTCAAGTGACAAAATGTGATCACCTTTCTTCCATCAAAGTGCATTGTTCATAAACTTTTTTTTTTTTTGAATTCTTAGGAAGCAGTGAATTCATGGATTTCTTTCAAACTTAGTACATGTAAGAATCATCATTGGTGGAAGAGGTTATCAAATTGAAATTTGGCATTCTGGCCCCATTCCCAGTTGACCAATGCTTCATAAATCTTCTCCAGGTTCAGATGTACGAGAATCAACACTCTTTTGTGAATGAAAAGATGCTTAGGTGCTTTATCTAAATTG